GACTTTTTTTAAATTCATACTAAATATTATTACATTGTATGTCTTTTATATGCAGACATATTCAAGCTCTGAGCATAATACAATCTGTGTTTTTCACATATTTGTTCCTATAAAATAGAATCCAATACTTGACCTAGTATTTCACAGAAATCCATACTATGCATCTAACCAAAGTTACCCAGTCTGCTAATCTTAGAAATGTAGATTTGCCAGATTTTTTTTGCTTTTATAATAATCTGCAATAAATATCTATGCTCATAACTTTTGAACTTACATACTGAGAAAAAATATTTTAACAATTTTTGCATGCTACAAATTGGTCATTTTATGAGAGCAGTCAATTAGTATTATCTTCAAGATTTTCCTTTCTTTATATATGTTCCTATGCTAACTATTATCATTTTATTTATATTGGCTAACTAGAGAATAAAAATGTTGTTTCCTGTGTATTTATAGTTCTATACTTTTATATGGCAAGACTTTTTATAAAGTTTTTAAAATAAGAACCCCCCCCCCCCCCGCCTTTCTCTCTCTCTGAATCAAGGCTAGTACTCTATCACTTAAATCACAGATCTACTTCCACAGACTTTGCTGCGCTGGCTGGCTTTGAACTGCCATGCTTAGATTTCAGTTTCCTGAGTAGCTAGGATTACAGGTGTGAGCCACCAGTAACCAACCAGGATCCTCTTCATTATTTTTAATACTATTGATTTCCAATGAATGAGTTTCAGTGTTTTCTGCCTGACAAATTGATGACAAAATATCATCATTCCTTTTGATTAAAAAGGTCAACTTTATCATAGCAACTTGTATATACAGTTGGATTGATTTTGATGCTTCATTGTTTCCATATTGTTTTTTCTCCCTGAGATGCTGGGCATGCTCATACATACTAGGTGAATGCTGTACCACTGACCTGCATCCCCAGCTAGAATTGCTTTAGTATATGACATGAGCACTTCATTGTTTTATTCCTTTTTCAATTTACAGCAGGGACGTATAGAAATCACTAGCCACCTGCAATCCCATTCCAAACTTTCAAGAAGTTTTTTGTCAGTGTCACTAATTTATATTCCTAGCCATCCTTTAGAAGAATTTCTTTAACTAATAACACATTCCTAGTTTGAACACTCTTATTTAAGTGATTTATGTAACTTCTATAATATTACATTAACAAAATGTTACATATGAGATGTTACACAATGTAATGCTGTAGAAATATATACACTCATTTGGATAAAATCAACATACTTACAAAAATGGATAACCCTGCTCAGTAATACATCTTTTAATTGATTTGACCCTTAACTACATTCATCAGCATTTTATTTTTTATTAATATATATTCTCCTTTGCTTTTCATTTATACCCTGAGCCACATTACTTGATCATATTGAGACTGAAACCTCTTGGCCCACCATGTCTGTGTCTGCTCCAACATGCAGCAATGCTACCCAGTGTTGTCTATCTCTGACCACACCATTTGTTTCACTTGATTCTCTCATCTTAGATATCATAATGGCTTTGTCTCTTCATTTTCATACCTCTATTTCATTGATGGCGCGGTTTTCTTTTCCCTGCGGCTAGATCTTTCATCTCAATATTTTAGCTTCATTTCTATCAGAAACATAACCAGAAAGTGCTGAGGGCTGCAGGAGTGTCCTGAGCTCAGAAGAAAAGGAGGATAGTACTCTCGTCCTCATCCTTAACTTCATGTGTCTCTCTGGTCCTTTTGATTGCATTAACACAAGGAGCACGAAGAGCAGGCTTTCCCAGCCATCAGGAATGATGAATCGTGGTCAGCCTAGACCAGGCAGGAGTAGGTGATTCTGATGAATAACCACCAGTCTACATTGCTGCTCTTCTTTCGCCTGCTCATGGTGCCAGCCAGCCCTCTCCACCTTTGCTCCAACAGCATCACGTCTCCTGGGAGACCAGAAAATCCTCATTGCCACACAGCACTGAGGAATGCCATCCACCTTAAATAACTGTCAATGTGGTATTAAAAATCAAACCCAGAGCTGGACATCAGTGGCTTAAGGTACCTGTAATCCTAGCTCAGGAGACTGAGCTTCAAGGATCTGGGTTTGAAGCCAGCACACATGGAAAAATCCATTAAGACTCTTATCGCTCATAACGATCAGAAAACTGGAAATGGGGGCATGCCTCAAGTGGCAGAGCACTAGCTCAGTGTTCAAACTCCAGTACAGGGAGATAAGGAAGGGGAGAGGAGATGAAAGAGAGAGAGAGAGAGACAGAGACAGAGAGACTTTCAGATCCAGGAGATTCAGAAGCCCATTTTCCTGCCATTTTCCTACCAGGTATAGCCACAATCCTTTCATTCAAATTCAGCTCAATTATACTACAAACAGAACACAGGGTGGCTTCCTCCAGTCATTTTATCTTTCTCTTTTTCTATGTCTAGTCTGAGCAAAAGATTTGCCATTTGTAATATACTTTGGTATAAAGAAATAAAATGTCAGTGGGACTTGGGGCGAGAGAATCTCCAGCTAAATACTGGAGTTCCTTAGTTTTACTATATTAAACATCGCATCTAGGACCCTCATGCTCACATTCTATGGGCTTGTAGGTGATTGGCCCATTGCTGATGACATTTTATATCATTCCCATCAGTACTCAGTGTAGACGGTTTTGGCTAGTTTTTGTGCTGGTGGGATTCTTTTTCTTTGTACTTGTATCCAGAACTGGGTTTCTTCTTACGAATATCACTATGTGACAGTTAATTATTCTGAAAATCCAGGTTTTCTTCTTAGTAAATAATTATCCCCTTCTGACTCTAGTTCCCGCTGATCCCTGCTCCTCTCCAGATCAGCATGACCCCTGTGATTCAACCTCTTCTTTTCCCTCATTCTTGGTAATTTCTTCCTCCACATTTTTCAAGTACTCTCTCTTTCACTCTCTCTCCTGCCCTCTCTCCTTCTTTTCCTCCCTCTCATTGTCCTTATGTCCCTTAATCTTGTAATTTGATCCCCTTGCTTCAGTCTTCCTAATGCTGGGACTATAGGCATGTACCACTATGCCTGATTTGGCTCTTTGTTTTGTATGCTTATGATGACTTTCTCACATTTTAAATAGGCATTTACCCACCCATTTCTTAATAGTCCCTTTCCATATTTATCTTCCTATTCAGGGTCCTAGAAACCTTAGCTTTCTCCATTCGTTTATTTAATATCCCATTTTCCAAAGTTCATCTTGTAAATGTTATTGAAAGTTCCAAGACACTGAAATCCAACCTTTCCCAAAATAAATCGCAATTCAATATGATAACCTCTCTCTACCTCTTGTGGCCATACATCCCTCCCCCGTTGCTAAATTAATCTTTTTGATTACATATGCTGCCACCATGCATACACATCTTTATAGCTTCCATGAGCTCTCCAATCTGGAATGCATTTTCACAGGTAGAATGTGCTTTATTTCTTCCTTCCCTCCATCTTCATTTGAATATAATGGATTCTTCAGGGTATTTCATTTTATAGTATTTCATTTGAAAGATTATATATCAGTGCCTTTTGAAAGTAGACAGCCAGACTCAGAAGTAAATTTAGCAAGAAAATATAATGCCATTGACAAGCTACTTCTAAAACTAAAGAAAAAGTAAGGTCTCTGTTGTTACTGAAGTGTTAGAGCATCTACCTAAGCAACCACAATGCTCTAAGTTCAAACATCAATACCGCCAAATAAAGATTGCAGTTTTGCTGAGCACAGTGGCTCTATGTATAATTCCCAACTCCTTGGGAGGTCAAGATCAGGAGGCACTTAGTTCAAAGGTTAACTAGGGAACAAAGTTTTCAAGATCTTACCTAATAACTGAGCATAATGGTACATGCCTATAATCCCAGTTATGCTGGAAATGTAAATAAGAGGGTAGCAGCTAGCTCAGGTATAAATGAAAGACCCTGTCCTAAGAATAACTAAGGCAAATGGGCTGAAATTCAGGCTCAAGTGGTAAAGCCTGCCTAACAAATGTAAGGCCCTTAAGTTCAACCTCCAGTATCACTAAAATAATTCTTAAATATGAAATATGCTCCTTTTTGCCTGAATCCAAAAGCTCAATGCTTTGTTTCTATCTCTTCTAACCAAACAGGGAAAATTCAATAGCCTTGAAAAGCTTTCTGGGAGGGGCACACTCATCTGCAGTCTCCAAGGCAGGCCAACAACATTGAGGAAGAAGCAAATCAGAAGAAATCCTTACCTGTGACATGGATGACTGTATTTGTCCCAGCTCTTCACCCCCAATGCCATGCCCAGTGCCCAGCACCCCCAATGCCAGGCTCACTCATGATTCTGCTTCTCACAGACCTTACTCAGAGCTTGATTCCTTCTTTTCCATGGCACACTGATCCATGAGTACACTCCTTTGCTGTCTAGAAGTCTGAAGCACCATGGGCCTCAGACTCCCCTGTCCCTACTCCCCTCATAACCATCTCCCTCAAGCACTCCATCTGGGAAACCTGGAGCTTACAGCTGTGTGATGAACAGAAACCCACCCACTGGGCATGCTAAGAATGGAGGGCTTTCATCTCATCCTGTAGCCCTGCACCTGACCCTTGATCTTTCATTTGGGATACACAATCAACTCAAAAATCGTATCTCCAGCCAGGCATCCAAAGGCTCATGCCTGTAGTCCTAGCTACACAGTAGGCTGAGATCTGAGGATCGCAGTTCAAAGCCAGCCTGAGCAATAAAGTCTGTGAGACTCTTATCTCCAATAAACTATCCAAAAAAAGCCAGTGGTAGAGCACTAACCTTGAGAAAAAAAATGCTCAATGACAGTGCCCACTTCATGAGTTCAAGCTCAAGACCAGTACACACACACACACACACACACACACACACACACACACCTCTTCCTTTTAGAATACATCCTAAGATTTCTCTTAAAGATATCTTCTCTAAAGACTAATTATTTTAATACTTATATACATAGGTTTAAATAACTATTCATTTTACTTTGTTACAAAGTACAGAATTCTTACCAGGAATCAAGTTGCTGAGGTACCACCCACATAAAAAATAAAGGATTGAATCAATCATAATCATCCAGCAAACCCAGCCAAAGGTCATGCCCCCTGCTTCTGGAGCCTGGTACATATTATTCCAATGTATCCCTGAGAAGAAGGAAAAGGTCAAAGTTAGAACTATGCATCCTCTTTTGCCATAGACATTGATGAAATGAATTCACTGGTTCTAGAGCCTCAAGAGGAAGAACAAAACCAATGGAAAGGTCAGCACCAATGGCCATGACTCTTCAAAAACAACATTAGCTTGGATAATAGTACCTTTATTTCAGCACAGCTTTTCTTTTGTGGGGGGGACGTCCTGTCATGGGGCCAGAACTATGGGCCTGGGTGTTGTCCCTCAGCTCTTCAGCTCACGGCTAGCACTCTATCACTTGAGCTACAGCACCACTTCCGGCTTTTTTCTTTTTGCTTATGTGGTGCTGAAGAATTGAACCCAGGGCCTCATGCATGCAAGGCAAGCATTCTACCACTGAGCCACCTTCCCAGCCTAGTACCTTTATTTCAATGGAATCATGTGGAGCGACCATTAGTATCACTTGAATATCTGAAAACTTTTAAAAGTCACTTTATTTATCTCTACTTTTATTTACTCAAATTAAAGACAACTTCTTATTTCATGAAAACAAGCATACTTTTCAAAATTAAAATGCTTCTAAGATACTCAGGAGGCTGAGATCTAAGAATCAGGACTCAAAGCCAGGCCATACAGGAAACTCTGTGAGACTTTTATCTCCAATTAGCCATTAAAAACACAGAAGTGAAGCTGTGGCTCCAGTGGTAGAGCAACAAAGCTAAAGACAGTGTCCAGGCCCTGACTTCAAGCTCCAGTACTAGCAACTACACACTTCTAATCCTAGTTCCTCAGGAAGCTAAGATCTGAGCATCACAGTTTGAAGCCAGTCCAGGCAGGAAAGTCCATGAGACTCTTATTTCCAATATTACTCAAAAAAAGCTGAAAGTGACAGTGTGGCTCAACAGTAAAACCAATGTCTACTAAAATCAAATGTCTACTAAAATCAAATGTCTACTAAAATCAAATGTCTACTTGGTAGGCATCTAACCAAGTCTTTCTGCTCTATCATTTGTAGTATAACTATATATTTCTAAAAATCTGAATCACAGAGATCACTTCCAAAAACATCATCCTCTTACCCGTCTCTTGTCCTTCTAGGAATGTAATGAAAAATACTCCTTGCCCAAAAGCTGTTGTTGAGAGGAGGCACTGCACACAGATTGTTAAAGAAAGGAGAAAAGCAGCCTGTTAGTGTTTGATTGAAACCACAGAAACCCCACAGTACCAAATTCAAAGAGAGGTTGACACTTTCAGATTCGAAGGATGCCAAGCCATTGCTCCAGGCAATAATTTAAATATAGGAATCTGAAAAGCTTAGCAAAATGTCAGCCTACTCTGAAAAACATGCTAACAAGCTAGTTTTTAATGTTAAAAGGAATTATTTATCTTTAATGCAATGCTTGAAGTGTCATAAATCCAATGCACTGTATATAGAAATGTGTAACAGGAACTAGTGGAAAATGAAATGGAGCAATTTACTATTTTTTATTATTAAGTAAATGCCCTGAAGCACATTGCACTTAGACTGATGGAACATCTACACAATTCTACACAAGAAAGAGAGTGTATTGGCAGAAAAGGTTATTTTATCTTCAGTGGAGAGGTCCGTGTCAGAAAAGAAAGTTCACTGAAAAAGAATCTGATATTTAAAAACACAACATGCCAGAGGGTTTTTTTAATTGATGGAAATATTTGAATATGCAAAAAGCTAACTGAATGCCATATGCATAGAACTCCTAAATACAGAGGTTGAAGTAATAACAAAAATGAGAGTATTTGAAAGTTTGCTCTAGGTGTAAGAAGTTTATGGAGGAGAAACACTACATAATTCCTTTATGTTCATTATTGTAAGAGCCTCTAGTCAATACTAATACAAAATTATTGGTTATGAGTTACTGAAGGTGGGGCATAAGCTAATGAAATGGAAAAACACATATACACCAGCCAAATACTAATTGAATGGAGCCATTTCATTATATGTGCATGAATATGTGCATATATACATCTGTAGAAATCAGCAAATAAAGAAAATTGAATAGTTTCTTGAAGTTGGAGAAAAATTATCTGACTGTCATAGACAATTTACCCTATGGCTCTAAATGAACATAAAAGATGAAGCCATTCCTATTGAGTGGGAAATACACTGGGCTGTCAAGAATTTAGTGCTAGGCCAAAGGACTTGCTCTGAGATTTCAAGTCTCCCTGACATCCCCTGAAGAAGAATCCAGTCATAATTCTGGAACTTAACAGGATTATGTGATGAACATAGTGCAAATATGCACAGATCTGACCACACCGATGTGACAGAGACTGGTTTAGTCAAGATTTGCTTGCTCCTTCCACACATCAGGCACTGTGCATCACAAATCACAGAAATAAAAGAATAAATTTATATCTTCTATCTCTTTTCATATTGCAGACATGGCAACATTCTCATTCTTTTTCAGAAGGTACATTTGAAATGGATAAGCAATTCTGACATTGCTAATGGAGAGATCTATCTAATGTGATATGACTTGTGATGCTCCAAGAAAAAAATGCTTATGTTTTACTTCTGAAATAGCTTTAGAAATCTATTTTCTTCCATGAACAAAACAAAGAAAAAGCAAAGTTGTTTGCTTCTTAGAAGATGTTGTTGATTCCCAAGAGTCTTCATAGAGCCTTGCTTACATGAAGCATGGCAATGTTTAATGGGTTGCCACTGCATCCATGAAAAGTAACAAAACGCCAATGAGTTGTCATTGCAAGTTTTGGATAAGAAGGTAGAATAAAGAGACTAGATAGTAGAAATCTTATGTAGATCAGAACATCATGTGTTGCTAGGTTGAGGGCTGTTGTTTGCTTATTTGTTTGTTTTGGTGAGTAAATACCAATATTGTTTTATTTTACATTTGTAAAGAAACAACTTACCATTAGTGTCTGAATGGCAAAACTTAATTGGTTATGTAGGACCAACAAGACAATGTAGGGTAGAAAACTGATCATATACACCAGGCTGGTACATAGGGCTGCGGTATTAGCTTGGCTGAAAAACGCACTCAAGAAGTAACTCATCATGACAACTGACACTCCAAAATCCAGGAAGAAGAGGATAATAATAAAGGCATCACTGTGCATGAAGATACCACTTATTTTCAGAATGATGGCCAGAGCAATGCTGCTCAGGGTCAGCACAACCATGTTCTCCAGAAACCAAGCCAGGAAATGGATGGTTGGATGTACTCCCATCATCCGCATGTACTGTCAAAAGAGGGAAAACTTAGTCATCACAGAATTATACTCTTTATTTTTTGTGCCTGTAATGGGTCTTGAACTCAAGGACTCGGTACCATCCCTTAGTTTTTCACTTTAGGCTACGGCTCTACTACTTGAGCCACAGCTCTACTTCCAACTATTTGGGTCATTCATTAGAGATAGGAGTCTTACGGATTTTCCTGCCTAGGATGGCTTCTCCAATGGGGATCCTCAGACCTTAGCTTGATGAGTAGCTAGGATTACAGGCTTGAGCCGTCAGCATTCACTAGGAATTGGCTCTTGAAAAAGAACGGGAAGGATTGTATACAAGAGGTGACCCTATCTGGTTTGCAAGTCCAACCCTTGTGCAGGACACTGGCATGGTCACTTGCTTCCAGAGCTCAGCATGTGGTTTTCATGAGCACATTGCTAAAGTTGCCTGTTTAGCACTTTGGAGGAGAAGGAACTAAGACTGGAAGAAGTGAAGACAATCTCACCAATAAAAAGGTTCATTTTCAACATAGTGTTTTGTACATCTCACTGTTACAATGGGTCAACCTGCATCCTTATTTAAGCATTTTGTTTTTTCCCTTCCCCTCCCTGAATTAGAGAAGTGCATATACAAGATGCAGGGCACCGACATCAAATGCAGTGAAAATGTGGGTGGGGGGAGGGAATAGTTGTGGAGGTGGGAGGGCAGGGATGGTAGGGGGAAAACAACAGAGGAGGCAACAATACTTGATAAGAAATGTACTCATTACCTTGCTCATGTAACTGTAACCCTTCTGTACAGAATTTTTACAATAAACAATGTACAAAAAAAACCCCAAGGGGAAGGGGTAGAGGTAGATATATGTAGACTTTAGAGTCAATTACCATCTCATTGTGTTTTCCTGTTTTTCAGAGGTTTGCTGTTTTAATTTGTGTTTGTTTTTTATTTTGTGTTGGTTTCATTTAAAAAAGGTAAAAAGAGACATGCAGGAAGGAAATACCTGGTACATAAGGTTTGCTGTTTGGAAGGCCAGTACAAAGTTTAGAATGGATTTTGCCAAATAATGCTGGTTGAAGCAGTACCAATAAAATTTGTTTATTCACAAAACTTACTATCTGCTAGCCAGGCCTGGAGGCTCATGCGTGTAATCCTACGGTACTCAGGAAGCCAAGATCTGAGAGTAACAATTTTATGCCAGCTTGGGCATGGAAGTCTGTAAGGTTCTTATCTCCAATTACCTACCAAAAAGCCAGAAGTAAAGGTGTGACTCAAGTGATAGGGAACTAGCCTTGAGCACAATAGCTTAGGAACAGGATCTAGGCCCTGAGTTCAAGTCCCAAGACTGGTACTGAGAGAAAGAAAGAAAAGAAGAAGGAAAGGAAGGAAGGAAGGAAGGAAGGAAGGAAGGAAGGAAGGAAGGAAGGAAGGAAGGAAGGAAGGAAGGAAGGAAGGAAGGAAGGAAGGAAGGAAGGAAGGAAGGAAAAGATTTGCTATTCTACCACATCATGATATCTTTGGGTATGGAGCTAGTTATGTGAAGGAGGACAAGGGGCTGGGACATACCTTCTGGTTAGCACCTGTGGGTGACACTTGAGAGTCCATCAAGGGGAACACTCAAGTCACCAGGCTCTGTAAGTAGACAGGCCATAAACAGACAAACAGCATGCCAGAGAGCAATGCAAGTTCTCTATCTCATTTAGAAATAAAGGCACATTCTACTTTACCATCCTATTTTTCTATGTTCATAAATAAGTGCCCAATGGGCATTCCTTATCCCTTGACCTTACTTCTCTTCAAAGATCGATGGGGAGTCACTTCTTCACTAGATGTTTTAAAACATTTTCATTCTTAAAAGCAGGTGTCTGACAGTTTCATATTTTAGCAATATAAAGACAAACATTTGCAAAAAGTTTCAACCATAAGTTAAAGGTGGAGAGACTGCTGTTATTTTTTTCAGAGGGTTATAAAAATTACTGCATAAGAAGCAGCTGGTTGCCAGTGGCTCATGCATGTAATTCTAGCTCTCTCAGAAAGCTAAGATCTGAGAATCCACATTCAAGGCAAGCCTGAGCAGACAAACCCAAGAGACTCTTATCTCCAATTAACCAGCAGAAAGCTAGAAGTAGAGGTGTGCCTCTAACAGTCATGTGCTATCCTTAAGCAGAAAAACAGAGAGCTGGAAACTTTGAGTTCAAACCCTAGCACCAGCACATGCACCAAAACAATTGCTTGAATAAACCATTATGTCCATTTTGTTTACTTATTGCTTGGTTTTCTTTTATATCAACAGAAAATATCTGAAAAATTTGGCAACACTTCCAACTTCCATAGAAAATAATCATTTCTAGGAAAAAGATTGTTTCTGAGATAGGAACTCAGCTAGCCTGTACACAGGAGACCAAACAGAGAGAGGAAAGAAAAAAGAGAAAATCCTGAGTTAGTTATTGGCTATTTACTTCTAAAGTTGTCAGGACCCTCTTTCTGTCTCTCCTGTTAGAGTTAAGGTGACTTACCTCTTCTATCTGAATCTCCCGCTCATAAACTAGTTTCCGGACCATGCTGGCCACAGACACTATCCAAGTCAGCATCATTATCAGTGGAAAAAAGAAGCCAACGTTGTTCAGGAATCTGTCAGGACATAATTCAATCAGTGTCCAAAGAAAAAGGGCTCCACAGTTAGTCATGTACATGGTAAGCACTAAATCTGTATGAATGTTTGAACATTTTTTTCTCTCAATTTTCTCAACACTTTATGGAGCAGTGCCTTCATAGGCCTATGACCTAGTACTGTCCTCAATGCCCTGGTTTTCAAGATGTACAAACACACAAAGGCGATCATGTAAGAGATTGGTTCAAGGTCCTTCAGATAACCATAGCCTTAGCCAAATCTTTTGATACTGTCTATAGTGAGAGCAAATCAGAAGAAGAAAACAGGCTATTTCTCCATGACTCATTTTTCCCACTTAACTGAGCAATGATCTATCTCTAGTCACAGAACTATTAATCATAGATTATCGTCTAGAAAGTATGTAAGAGCTGGCAAATTAAAGTCTCCCTTTCTATTTCCCCAGCACTCATTTTTCAATCTATCCTAACTGGAATTGATTGATAGGGTAGGGATCCTAATTGACAGTCATGTCACTAAAATCCAAAACGAATTGTCAGTCATTTTTCTTTCCTGAATTCTCATCTATGTTTGGTAACACTGACCTCTACTCTTCTCTTAGCTTCTAGAGCAACTTTCCTTGGCTTTCCATACATTGCCAGGCCATTTAGTCCCCCTCACAAATTGCTTCTTCTTTACCTGTCCTTCAGTGTAGACATGCTCACTCCAGCCCTGCAGTAAGTACTGGGCCATCTAACTCACAAGCAAGCTCTAAAAATCACAAAGTAATTATCTTATTCCTCACTGAGGCCAATGTGAGATGCAAGCTAGCTGATTGGGCCTGTGATATACACTCAAGCAACAGAAGATCTTGCTATTAAGGACATCCTACATTCTAGAAAGGTGCGGGAAGATAAAACAAGCCAATCAATAGACATGTCACATGGTGTTGGGTAGACAGGAGAGGTGGAAGATGGAATGCTTCACAGATAGGTGGGTAGGTGAGGTGGCTTCATGAGTAGTTAAGCAGGTAATGTACAGAATAAGTCATGCACGTATTTCTGAGGAGACAACTCTAGGCAAGGTATAGACAGACTTTTAATCTGCTTCTGGAAACTAATCCAAAATCCACAAACGAAGAGGGAATTTTGTTCAATGATTGAAAGAAACACTCAAGTGTTTGAAAAGTCTGCTAAAAAATAATTACATTTGTATAGCAAAACACATTCTCTCCAGATCTTGGGATGAGCCTACAAAAACATAGTTTTTAAGTTTGTGGCACGCTCGTAGGGGAAAATACACAGAGCAACAGATGGGAAGTGGGTATCAAATTCCATGTTAGGCTCGATACTGTGGGAGATGACCCAACCTGAGACTCTATTTCCAGGGAAGCAAAGAGTGGGCTTTGTGAGGAATCCACATATATGTAGGAAGTAATCACATTTGTGATAATAAAAAGAAAGACTTCAAAGCGTGTGCCACTAATGTCACTGGTCTTTGACCAACAAATAGGACCTTGTAAATACTTGATCAAGTATAACCAGTTCATTCTACATGAGTGATAATCACCGCAATGAAAATCTCAAAAATACCCACCCAAGAAATACAAAGAGATGGGGAGCTGCATCATTATTAACAAATAAATACTTCATGCAAAAATTTTGTATGGTGATATTGGGCAAATGAAAATTGCAAAATTATTTTGTGTGCAACTTCAAAATATTTAACTAGACAAAATCCTTCTTAAGAGATCGTGGATAGTTAGAAGTGAGTGAAGAGATGGCAAGAAAATAAAGAGATCTGAGACATTAACTTAGAAAACAGAAATAAATAGATGGAAAAAAATATAACTATCAGATGATGGATGGTAAAACTGGACAAAACATAGGAACAATAATGAATACTACAGAAGCCCACTAATGACACAGAAAGTAGGCAACAGAAATGTAACTTTAAAAAAAAAACAGAACTAAACCATTTAAAAGAAATAAGGAAATTTTATATAGATTAAGAACACAGGAAACAGAAAATCATGTAATTGACACCTCCTGAAGAATCAAAATAAAATAATGGTAAATAAGAAATTGATAGAGGTGTAATACATAAGAAGATTTCAAAAAAGAGCATTTGAATTTGTACTTTCAAGAGACATATCCGTATGGAATATTGTGGTATATTAGTCAATGATCCCATGTATACGCTTATAAATTTACAAAAATTTTCAGAATTTTTCAGATGGCCAAAACTACGAAGACATATAACAAAGAAAATAGCCAAGTGGACTCAGATTTCTCCATAGTAACATTGAAAGCTAAAAAAAAACAAGCCAGGCACTAGTGGCTCACTCTTGTGATCTTAGTTACTCAGGAGGCTGAGATCTGAGGATCATGGTTCAAAGCAAGCTCAAGCAGGAAAGTCTATGAGATTCTTAGACTCTTATCTCCAATAAGCTACCAAAAAGTCAGAAGTGGAACAGTGATTCAATGGTAAAGCACTAGCCTTGAGCAAAAAAACAGCTTGGGACAATTCAAGCCTAGTAACAGCAGAAAGGAAGAACAAAGGAAAGAAGGAAGGAAGGAAGGAAGGAAGGAAGGAAGGAAGGAAGGAAGGAAGGAAGGAAGGAAGGAAGGAAGGAAGGAAGGAAGGAAGGAAGGGAAAAAGGAAGGGAGGGAGGGAGGGAGGGAGGGAGGAAGGAAGGAAGGAAGGAAGGAAGGAAGGAAGGAAGGAAGGAAGGAAGGAAGGAAGGAAGGAAGGGAAATTAAATTTTATTTTCAAGTGGCTGTAATCACATATTAGTTGCCAAAAATTACATAAATCAAAAATGAAAACAATAATGTTCAAAACTTAGGATTTAGAAAGAGAATTTAGCAATTTATTGTGTTAGACAGCTGTTCAATTCTGTTCACACGATAGGTAAAAATATACAATCAAAAAGTAGTTTTAATTTTAACTTTTCTTTTTATAAGTAAGCTGATTAACTTATTATGCTAAAAAAAAAAGTTAATGAGAATTTGTACTTAGTAATGAAAAGGTGTACTTAGTGCTCTCTTGGATCAAAGAGAAAGTAGAAACTCAAATCACAAGTATCTAAAGAATATTGGATTTTAAGCAATGTACCTAAAAGAAAAATCATTGTCTTAGGCAACTACATAAAGTTAAGGGGGGAAATACTAACAATATGAATCGACTGTGAGTCTCAAGTTGTGACAGATACAAAATAATGAATTGAAAATATATAAAGTTAAAGAATAAAAATAAAAGCAGAAATCATTAATTTGGAAAAGTTTTCAAAGCAGTGAAAAACATCACAATGAATTTTTGGTCTCGAGGATAAATGGGTTTGTGTGTTTGCTGGTACTGGGTCTTGAACTCGGGGCCTCAAGCTCTCACTTAGCTTTTTTGCTCAAGGCTGGTGCTCTACCACCTGAGTCACACCTCCACTTTAAGCTCCTTTACTGGCTATTTGGAATTGAGATTCTATTCTGCCCATATTGACTTCAAATCCTCAAATCTTAGCCCCATGAGTAGGTAGGATAACAAATGTGAGCCACCAGCATCCAGCTTAAAGAAGGAGATTTTTAAAAAGAAAAGAAATAGGAAATGAATGGGTTTGTATTGGAAGCAGAGGCACAGCATGCCTCCAACTTCTGCTCTGTGTAGCAAGTTTGAAAGATGTCCTTTGGTTCTTGCTCCAAAGGAATTCTTCACTATGATGTCATGGGTCCCTCACCCAAGAGGGACACCAGAAGGTTGTGGAGTTTTCAGTCTTCAGAATCATGAGTTAAATCAACCTCTTCCCTCTGCATATTATGCTGCCCAACTATAGTTATAAGAGACTAACACCACACTATTTTTCTCTATTGTCTCCAGACTTCATAATCACTTACTTACAAAACCAGCAATTAAAAACATAATAAAGTTAGGGATGTCTAAGTGACTCCAGAAAGAGTTTGACCTACTATGTGAAGAGCATGAGTCCAACAAGTACATTCTAGGATCTTCTTTTGTACTTGCCTCTATTTTCAAACCCCCACAAAAATACTACGAATAAACCACAATTGAAAAATTAAACTCCCTTCTGTATTTAAGCCTACTTAAAAAGATACTCTGATCTCATAAACATTTCATTGTCACCATTTCCTTTCTGCAGGTGGCACTTACTTGATTTACATTTTAATAACCCCTTGTTAATCAAGTTTAATCTGCTGCTTGCCTCCATTTGCACTATCCAGTGGGTTCCAAGAGAGAAAATTAATGAGCGTGTTGAATCAAACTCACACTACGGAAAGAATCAGAGTAACCTGCAACTGTATTCATCACTCAGAACACAGGATTTAGTTTCAAATGTGGAGCAATGGCAATTTTCCAGCTCCTAGTTTCCTATCACAGCCCTGACCATTCTCTGTCCATTCTCTTCCTCGGCCCATGAATCCTACCAGCCAAGACCAGCTCCCATCAACCCAAGGGAACCCAGAACATGGTGGAGACAGCTATCAAGGGAAGGACAGGGCTCTTCTGCTTTCTCATTGTCTCCCTTTCTCCTTCTCATCCCCTTCAGGAAAAGGGGGAGCAGTCTGCCATCTCTGTCTCCCACAGCCCCCTCACATGCTTGTCTTAAATGGGTTATGATGTGTGACACAGGAACAGAGAGGAGCCTGGAGAAAGGGTGGAGTAAGGACACCAGGCTCACATCCAGTCTGTGTGCAGTGATTCCCAGACGCACCCATGCTCCCCTAAGCCATGAGCAAAGGGGCCAGGGATGTTCTTTGTCTTACTGTTCCTACCTCAGTAACCCACTTGGGGAAGTCAAGGAGAAGGAAGCATGCTCGCCTGCTTCCACACCTCTCTGGATACAACATCATCCAAAAAAGCCTACTCTTCTGACTTTCATTATCAGTGGGTAGAAGAACTTTGTAGTCGTTAGAGCTGACCCCAAATACAGTAGGTTCCCAATACAAGCATCCATCCACTCAAAGTGCACAACACAATCCCCCTCTGGTGTGGGCTTTTCTAAATCAGGATC